TCTGAGCCTACACACGCTGTGAATCACTTAACCATTAACCGTCTGAGCCTACACACGCTGTGAATCACTTAACCATTAACCGTCTGAGCCTACAAATGATGTGAATCACTTAACCATTAACCGTCTGAGCCTACACACGCTGTGAATCACTTAACCATTAACCGTCTGAGCCTACACATGCTGTGAATCACTTAAACGGAGACTATTACAGATATATCACCAATATTAATTCTTTACAGGACAAATACATAAAGGACATTAGTATTTAAGTATTACCCGAGCTGCGGTCATACGTGTTGTGTCCCTGCAATCTAGTGTTATATGTAACCACAGTGTATGCATAAATATATAAAGAATTTTTTGCAACTTATCGTACATCTCCTTGGAAATGTACGATAAGCTACAAAAAATATCTTAGCAGCATCAGATTTTACCTGGATGGCTGCACGCGCCTAATGAAGCTAATTTGTTTAGCGAAATATAGCGTGAATGTATAATATTTAACAACTATTTTTATAACACTCATTATCGTGTTAAAGTTTCATTCTTAGGCATTTATATATAAGTGGTCTAGTGCGCTGGACACAGCGCAGGCGGTGTTGTCTCGATATCTCAATAGCATGAGTTCGAATCCCGGCGAGGGAAGAACAAAAATTTGCTTCCGCAAATTTGCAGATTTAACATTGTTGTGCTGATATTTAGAGTAATTATGAATATGATATGTGTTTTCAGCCGTGTATCACCTTCACTGATGATCCAATGGATGGATCTGTCGTAAAGTTGTCACTTGTTTAGATGTACTTATCAAATAATTATTTCTGTGACTGCATCTTACGATCCTCTACGATAGATAATTTAGCTTATCAGCAATCAATTCCATCTTCATGCCTAATTTATCATGTACTGTGATACAACTCTAGATTCTACTGACGAGGAAAGGTAACACTAGGCCACCGAAAGCTAATTTTTAGTTCAGTCTAGGTGGCCGAGTGGTCTAGAGCGCTGGATTCAGTGCAGGCGGTGTTGTCTCGATATCACAATAGCATGAGTTCGAATCCCGGCGAGGGAAGAACAAAAATTTGCTTCCGCAAATTTGCAGATATGACATTGTTGTGCTGATATTTAGAGTAATTATGTATATTATAACATATATATATAAATAAGTCTAAGTTGAAAATAGCGTTCAAACCTATGATTGCGTTGGATAAAAACCGCAATTTTTATACGTGTGCATGCAAAACAAATTTCTTGTTAGAGGGGTCTAAATACAGCACAAACAACATTTTCCAAAAGACCAAAAAAGTGAAAAGGTATATTTTAACAAAACGCATTTGACTAACAGGTCGAACAACAAATGTTCTTAAACCCTGCTGACTGCCATTGGCGATTGCCAAATAAACGGGTCACAAGGTGTAATAAATGGATCTTAATTATAAATTTAATACCAAACAGAAAACAATAAACTTGCGGCAAAGATGGTATACCGCGGTTTTTATCCAACGCAATCATAGGTTTGAACGTTGTTTTCAATTTAGACTTATTTATATTTTTTCGTTTGGGCTTGTATTATATTTGCCTTTGGGTTTATATGATCCTGATTTGACTCCTCAAAATTCGAGAGTCTATCCTAAATTGAGGTAAATTAAATGGCATTCCAAATACTTTTCCGATTCCTAACATCACTGAAGAGACATTAATTGTCGAAATCCGGATATGGTGTACAAAAATCTTTGCACCTTTGTTTGCGGTATACCATCTTTGCCGCAAGTTTATTGTTTTTTGTTTGGTATTAAATTTATAATTAAGATCCATTTATTACACCTTGTGATCCGTTTATTTGGCAATCGCCAATGGCAGTCAGCAGGGTTTAAGAACATTTGTTGTTCGACCTGTTAGTCAAATGCGTTTTGTTAAAATATACTTTTTCACTTTTTTGGTCTTTTGGAAAATGTTGTTTGTGCTGTATTTAGACCCCTCTAACATATATATATATATATATATATATATATATATATAGAAGTCTATAAAAAGGACCAACCAGCAAATTTACTATGTACCGGATCGTCTAGAATAGACGATACTGTGCAGATAAGGAAAAAATTATATAAGTCTAGAGATTTGCACAACGATACTAATATAAGATTGTATTATACGAAGATGTTGTTAATAAATCGTGTTGACAAATATTTCGGCTTAACAAATAGCCTTCTTCGGTGTCAATTATTTTAACAATACTGATAATATGTATAAAAATAGCTCAATAATACAGGTAAGTTTTGGTCTATTGATTTAATCCAAAATCCTGAACATCATAATATAAAACAAAACTCAATACTCAAATATACGTGACTGTGTATATTTACAACCCAAAATGAGTGAAAAATAAAACTTAGTATTTTTTATTGATGCCGTTTGGATGATGTACATTTAGTTCCTTTATCCAAAAGCTTTCCCGAACCTGTCGCTGGGCATCACTCCAGTGAATGTTCTGTTCAATCACTAGGATCTTCATCCGGTTAAAGTCATCAAGTGTGTGACCAGACTGTCTGAAATGCTGAGAAACTGGGAGAAGTGGCTTCTTAGAGATATCACTCCTATGGCCATTGAGGCGTTTGTGGAAAGGCTGCTTTGACTCACCAACATATTGGAGGCCACAAACCGAACATTCTAGAATGTAAATAACATTCATACTTTTGCAGTTAACATTGCAAAATATCTTATAGTTATTTTCGGTTGCCTTACTGTGAAAAGTTGATGAGTGATGCATCTGTAGGCAGCATTTGCAGCGTTTTTCATCACACGAACGACATTCTCCAGAAGTACTTCTATTATCAGACACTTCAGCCCGCACCAGCAGGTTACGCAGACTATTGGGTTGCCTAAAAGCTATCATGGGAGGCTCGGGAAAAATCTTGGATAGTTTGGAATTCTTTTCAACTGTTTTCCAATGCTCACGAATGACACCGAAGCTGTTTTTGAGAGATGGGTGGTAAGTAAGAACACATGGAGTCCTTTTATTTTTCTTTTTATATTTGTATTCTAACAGTTTACTCCTTGGAATAGTTTCCGCTTTCTGAAAGCCTTTTTGGATAGTTTTGTGTTTGTAGCCCCTTCTCTTCAAGCGGGTTTCGAGTTGACGTAGTTGTTTTTTAGTTGTTTCTGAGTTGGAACATATTCGCTTGACTCTGAGTGCCTGACTGTACGGGATGCTCTTAGTACAATGAGCAGGATGGCAACTTTTAGGGGACAGATATTGGTGAGTGTCAGTAGGCTTAGAATATAGATCAGTGGATATGATGCCATCTGTGAGCGAGCTGGAGGTATCGAGGAAGGTGATTTTGGATTTAGATTTCTCATGAGTAAATTTGATACTTGGATGTATGTTGTTAGCATGAGTGATGAATGTATCTAAATCCTCGTCACTTTTATTCCATTTCATATCCACATCATCTATAAATCTAAACCAGGAAAGCGGTTTTTCGATGGAAGATTCAAGGAGTTGTTTTTCTAATTTGCCCATAAATATGTTGGCATATGATGGAGCCATTTTGGTGCCCATAGCAGTTCCATTAACTTGCAGATAATGGTCTCCATCAAAAGTGAAGTTGTTGTTTTTGAGTACCAGCGTGAGCATTTTGACCAGGCATTCAGTAGGTGGATATTTCACTGGTCTTATGAATTTTAGGTAAAAGATAAAATCTGAATCTTTCAGAAAGCGGAAACTATTCCAAGGAGTAAACTGTTAGAATACAAATATAAAAAGAAAAATAAAAGGACTCCATGTGTTCTTACTTACCACCCATCTCTCAAAAACAGCTTCGGTGTCATTCGTGAGCATTGGAAAACAGTTGAAAAGAATTCCAAACTATCCAAGATTTTTCCCGAGCCTCCCATGATAGCTTTTAGGCAACCCAATAGTCTGCGTAACCTGCTGGTGCGGGCTGAAGTGTCTGATAATAGAAGTACTTCTGGAGAATGTCGTTCGTGTGATGAAAAACGCTGCAAATGCTGCCTACAGATGCATCACTCATCAACTTTTCACAGTAAGGCAACCGAAAATAACTATAAGATATTTTGCAATGTTAACTGCAAAAGTATGAATGTTATTTACATTCTAGAATGTTCGGTTTGTGGCCTCCAATATGTTGGTGAGTCAAAGCAGCCTTTCCACAAACGCCTCAATGGCCATAGGAGTGATATCTCTAAGAAGCCACTTCTCCCAGTTTCTCAGCATTTCAGACAGTCTGGTCACACACTTGATGACTTTAACCGGATGAAGATCCTAGTGATTGAACAGAACATTCACTGGAGTGATGCCCAGCGACAGGTTCGGGAAAGCTTTTGGATAAAGGAACTAAATGTACATCATCCAAACGGCATCAATAAAAAATACTAAGTTTTATTTTTCACTCATTTTGGGTTGTAAATATACACAGTCACGTATATTTGAGTATTGACTTTTGTTTTATATTATGATGTTCAGGATTTTGGATTAAATCAATAGACCAAAACTTACCTGTATTATTGAGCTATTTTTATACATATTATCAGTATTGTTAAAATAATTGACACCGAAGAAGGCTATTTGTTAAGCCGAAATATTTGTCAACACGATTTATTAACAACATCTTCGTATAATACAATCTTATATTAGTATCGTTGTGCACATCTCTAGACTTATATATATATATATATATATATATATATATATATATATATATATATATATATATATATATGACACGAATTTCTTTCCTTTTACTTAGTCAAAAACTATCCTTCATACTTGTGACTTTTTCAGATTTCTATTATGATAATCTAGACGTGTGCAAGATGAGCTTAAGGTAATAAAGTGAGATAAGGAACAACAGCTGGAGTTCATTCTAACATTCGTCGATTTTAGTCAGTAAACCTACTAAATCGATTGAAAGTACCGGCTTTGTAGAATCTAAAAAAAGTAATTCTATAACTGTGTTATGAATATAAAAAGATTTGCGCAATTATTTGCAGTAGTTAAAAATTTAATATAATAAATATTGAACAAATAAAACAATCACAAATTGTTTGTACAGTACCCTGCAGTAGTAAAATTACTGGCAAATCGGAAATGTTTTTAATTAAAGCTAACAATTCAAATCATCTAACGTCATCGATTGACACAATTATCATAACAATCAAACGGATACAGTACTAAACCCCTTGGCCATCTTATAAGCTCAAAGACATATATATTGTCAAAATATGATAATTTTGTGTTTTTCGGACTTAATAGTTTTAGAAAAACCTTGGCCAACGATCCAAAATGTTCCATAATCAAATGGTGCAAATAATTATATTGAATGCCTACAATAAAATCGTGGATCAGGTGTTATGGCCAAGGTAAATTATGGAAAAAACGGTTATAGTTGTGGAAAATGGACCATTTTCCAAAAAAGAAGTTATTTTGTATTAATAGTATAATCACAACTATTTCTATGTGAATTTTGTAGTAGTTTAACCTGATTTAAAAAAAATATATATAAAATCTTATACTCCTACGAACAAAGGTCATTTGTTTGCAATGAAATGTAATTTCCACATCAATTGAATTGAATATTACGTACTCGCTGCATAAGACATTATAATACAGTCTATGCAAAAGTCCACGAGATTCCAATCCTTCTTACTATACAAATTCTTGTACTAAGTAAACGTACTAGTACAGAACTTCTTCTACCGAGTTAAGCATAGAATGAAAGCTTGCTTCCATGTTGTATTCTGTCCTTGGCGCTAACGTGTTTTGCCATTGTTTTACATCATTAAACTGACTTATGTCCATTTCATCAACAGGGTCGTTTTCTTCTAGTAACGAAACTTTTTCCTCTTGGGCGGAAGCTGAACTTGACGCACGCGTAAACGGTATTCTTTGTAAAACACTTCCAGCTTTGTCTTTGGTTACTGCCTCAGAATTTGCAAATTTAGAAAAATAAATATCATTGTGTAAACTAGAGAAATAATCTTCAATCTTTTGTCCCTCTAATGCTGTAGAGGTGTATAAATTTTGCATCGTTTTTGGAACATATCCATACATACTTTCAACATTATTTATGTCACTATGGGGTCTCTTAGGACGGTTATTGTCAATAAATAGACTAGGAACTTTCATGTGTGTGAAATTGTCACTATGTTTATGTTCATAAGGATCTATAAATGTTTGTTCACTGTCGCGAAGTGCCGGGGAATGTGGATCTGTATTGAATATGTCCTGCACACGCCTTCTTTTATTAGGAACATTAGTTTGAGGTGGTTTCTCTGCGGGTTGTGTAGTTTCGTGGGCAGTGACGGATTGTGTATCTTGAAAATGTCCAGTATCGTCCAGTAACTTCCGCCTTTGTAAGGTAACTACATTCCCCTTATTACGCCGTCTTTGTCTTTGTTTACTTTTAGATTGCCCAGATGTAAATCTTCTTCGGGGAAAGCAAATCATGTTCCAGAAAGAAGACATATTATGATGCACAAGTGCAGTACCTGTGTACTAGTAAACCCGGACTTTCACTACCAATTAAGGTCCAACTTTCAGAATCTTATTTCAATTGTTCAGTGTCCAATCTATTAACAATAAAACATTACAAATGTTTTAATAACAAACAAATAGAAATAAAATCATAAACATATCAAAAAGATGACATTTAGATATACATATAATTCTTACCTTATTGTATGTTTCCACGAAATTAAGAAATGTCATGCTTACAGACCATGATCTCTAGATGCCTTTTTGGATTTTTTGTTGTTGTTGATTTTTTTTTTGCTTTATTTTTTGCCATCGCATGAACGTATACAGAACATTTCCTTTTATTCATGATCATGTCTGAATACGTGTAAAATATTTGCCACTGGACGTTAGGCAAACAACATTTATTCATACGGTTTTCTAAAGTTATGAGGGGTGATGATGATCAGCTGTCAAATACGGGCGACTTAAAGCAAATTGACTTTAAGTTAATCGATTAAAAATCAAGATTTTCACGGTATTTTTGCTGACATTTGTGTATTATGTCGATATGTAGAGCCCATTGTAGCAAGTTTGTTAAGTTTTCCACAAAAAACGGTCGGAAATGTTCGGGGTTGATTTATTCTTAAGCTCTGTGAAAGTAAATCATACGTTCGATATGTTATGGTGAATAAGAACAATTTCAAGAGAAAAAAATGCATCATAATCTGACGAAAAATGAATTATATACTACATAACTAAAAACAACACTGTTAATGGTTTAAAATTCTCATATCTTACTACTATTTACTATATTTCAAAATACGTGCTGTCCCTTCCAATCTTGTGGAAAATATTCAAGTTACAGTATTTGATTAACATTATAATATATATCATAAGCTACCATGATTAGCAAAAATGGCGACTGTTTGTGAATTGAATGTTCGTTTGATGATCACTCGTATAGAAATATAGTCTTTTAACCAGTACGACAAAATTTCAATGCAGTTTTTTTTAAACAATAACGAATATTTGCTTACCTTAATTCACCTGATGAAATCCGCCATTTTGATGCTGATTTCAAGAGACAAATATCATGATCAACAAGATACATTATCGGAAAAGTGTTGTGTTGAATTATTAATTACTTGGCGCTCAATATTTCATACATCAATACACAAAAGTTGACAATAAATTCTATTTCATATCAATAATGTAAATATTCTACAAATGAATTACTTTTGTACTGGTATATTGAGTTTTTATATACATAACTGATACCTTGATACCAGGTATTGAATACTAATACACTTATATATACATGTTGATAGACTTTATGTTTATGAAAGATTTGATTCTTTTGTTAGTTCAAGGACTTAAGGATAGATAGACATTTAACTTTGCTAAAGAAAAAATTACATAAAAATCCTTTCAAATATATTTGTATTTCTCCTCGGCTCCTTCAGGTCTACTTAATTGTTCAAATCAACTTTAAAAGTGCTCCTAACAATCATATGACTGTTATACTTTGTTCATACTTGTTCTGTGGCTTCTTATTATATTGATCCTTGTAAGGCACCAACAATGCACAGTCAATACCAAAAACATTTATACATGAATTATGAAAATAAGAAGATATGGTATGATTGCCTATGAGACAACTCTCCACCAAAGACCAAAGACGTAGAAGTACCAAAGACTTAGAAGTTAACAACTATAGGTCACAGCACGGTCTTCAACAACGAGCAAAACCCATACCGCATAGTAAGCTATTTATATAAAAGGCTCGAAATGACAAATGTAAAATAATTCAAACGAGAAAACTAACGGCCTGATCTGTGTACAAGAACAAGAAGAAGAAGAAGAAGTACAGAACAATAAACGAAAAACGAAAAACACATATGATATACAGCACATAAACGACAAACATATATAGCGCCTAACCAGTGACAGTGGTGACTCCTGACTTGGGACAGGCACATATCTATATTTATATATATAGCGCCTAACCAGGGACAGTGGTGAAACAGTACAACATTAGAACAAACTATAAAAATCAGTTGAAAAGGGCATAACTCATCAGATCATCGAAAGCTCATTTAAAGAAAATACTTCGATGTGTGTAACTATATTTATTTCACTAGCCCGAATTTATTTTGATAGTCACGGGCTCAGTAGGGCTAGTGTGTTTTGGCACAGGCTGTAAAGGCGTTATATATTGCTACGAAATATGAAAATGTTAATTCCAATGGGAAAAGGCAAATCATTTCTATGTGTTTACCTTAACTATTAATATATTGTTAAAGACAGGCGAAAGATACCAAAGGGATATTCAAACTCATAAATCGAAATAAACTGACAATGTCATGGCAACAAAACGAAAAGACAAATAACTGTACACAAAACACTACATAGAAAACTAAACACTGAGCAACACGGACTTGTTCATTTACTATTTTGGTTGATAAGTGATGTTATAATTGCTGTCCCATTAACATTTTGAAAATAAAGGGGGGGGGTCGGATTAGAATGGGATATGTGATAAACGTCAATCAGATATCAAACAAACGACACAATCATCTACAGGTTATCATAAACTGTCCTCGTACAGGTCATCATAAACATCTACAGGTCATCACAAACTGTCCTCGTACAGGTCATCACAAACTGTCCTCGTACAGGTCATCATAAACTGTCCTCGTACAGGTCATCACAAACTATCCTCGTACAGGTCATCAAAAACTGTCCTCGTACAGGTCATCATAAACTGTCCTCGTACAGGTCATCATTAATATCTACAGGTCATCACAAACTGTCCTCGTACAGGTCATCATAAACTGTCCTCGTACAGGTCATCACAAACTGTCCTCGTACAGGTCATCACAAACTATCCTCGTACAGGTCATCACAAACTGTCCTCGTACAGGTCATCACAAACCGTCCTTACAGGTCCTCACAAACTGTCCTCGTACAGGTCATCATAAACTGTCCTCGTACAGTTCATCACAAACTGTCCTCGTACAGGTCATCACAAACTATCCTCGTACAGGTCAACATAATCTGTCCTCGTACAGGTCATCACAAACCGTCCTCGTACAGGTCATCACAAACTGTCCTCGTACAGGTCATTACAAACTATCCTCGTACAGGTCAACATAATCTGTCCTCGTACAGGTCATCACAAACCGTCCTCGTACAGGTCATCATAAACTGTCCTCGTACAGGTCATCACAAACTATCCTCGTACAGGTCGTCATAAACTTTCCTCGTACATGTCAACATAATCTGTCATCAACATAAAGACAAGACTCTATTGAAGACCCATTGGCAGCACTGGGCTGTTTGGTTGGGTTGTTGTCTCTTTGACACATTCCCCGTTTCCATTCTCAATTTTATCTTTATTATACAATTTTTGCAACTCTGTAATCTTGCCCAAATATGGAAAAGTTGTGAATAAATCATCAAAAAACTAAAATGACACAAAACAAACTATAAATATATAGCAAACTAAACCTTTGTCGTTTCGATTTCCAAATAATTATAGCATGATATACTATGTTATTTTCCACTTCTATTACGGGTGCACTTAACTTCTATACCCATGAGGGACTTGTATGGACGACTATGTCATTCACCTACTATTTATAAACAATTGAAAGGTTTCACACATGTTTGCTATCTGTCCCCAAGGCTAGTAGTAGATCATCTGAAGTGGTTTTTTGTTTTTTGTTTTTTTTAACTGATGCTTGATTTCATTAAATGATTTTGTAAGATAAAATTTACAATGAGATATTCAGTGCAAAGGATAATTTAGCTTAAAGTATGTATAAAATTTAAAAAAAACTAAAATTCATTCATTTTGGATAATTTTGAGTAAATAAAAATTAGTTATTGTATATATTTTTTTTATTTTACCTATCCTAATCCTTAGGTACTTCTTGAACATCTGTAAAAATTTTTGTCAATGTTTAAATGTTAGAAAAGAATGTTAAAACTTATACACACTTATGCCTTTCACTTAAAACTCTGAAATGGTCAGTTTTTTAATCAATAGGAAAAAGAATATTTACCTATAACAAAATGTATAATAGTAGAAATTAGCATGTACTGGCTCACCTGAATTATTCCAACAACAGAATTTAGTTTTTAAAAAAATCCAGGTATAAATCTCGATCTGTAGCCTTCTTGAAATTACAAATAATCAAAATATCCTTCCAAGTAAACAGAATGTGTATCAGATTTGATTGTTGATATACAGCTATTACTACACAATATTTGTATTATGACGACATTTTTATTCATGGATATTTATTAAATGTCTCGAGGGTTTCATTTCTTTTGAATAAATTCATTGATCCGTACCACACATAAAGAAGATTTAACTGGAAGTTATTTTGGTCATTGAAATTGTTTTTAACTTCAAGGATCATATTTCTTTTTATTCATTTATTTATATCACTTCAATGTATTGTGACGTCATTATAACAGCTTAATGTCGTCCAATCGTACTAGATAACAAGTGTATGACGTTAAGCAACCAACAATCAATCAATCAATCAAATAAAATGATATTTTAGCTGCTTTAGATTACAGTTAATGAAAAGATAATTATTTTTATCACCGCATAAAATCGTGTTTAAATAAAGAATAAGGACCATCTTAACACTATAAGTATTTCACACAAGGGACATTTTAAAGTTTTTAAATATCTACTTTAATTCACAGCATCACAGCTTCATGCATATACTTTGAGTTTCTAACCTGATCGTGTCGTATTTCTGTCTGAATGTGTTCCCAAGTTCTTCTACTATTCTCCTTCTTCTTCCTCCTCCTCTTTTTCTGCTTCCGTTTTATATAGCCGTTTAACAATTTAACGCTCCAACAAGAATATACATCATGATGTTACGATACTGAGCCGGTGTTTATACGCACCTTTCCAAAAACTGACTATAAATTATTTTTAAGAAGTACATAAGGCATAATAATAAAGTTAAACATGTTGCTAGGGATTAAGTAATTAATGTCCATTGTCATAAATTGTCTTTGACACGTAGAAATGAAATCAATTATCGGATTAGTAGAAACATAATTACATTTTAAAACAAAAGATAATCATACGGAAAATTGATGACAAATTGATGACAAGTACATTATATAAATATTATAGTCCGACAGATGACAGTTCAAATAATTGACATGCTTTTTGTGTGGCCATATTAAACTGTACATCGACACTTGCGCGTTTTCGCAGGCTTGATGCTACATGCTCACCGAGAAACAGAATCAATTAACCAAAATTTAAAATTCAAACTGGGGTATGTACGTAAATAAAAACCGTATTATTGATATACAGTTAGTGGAGTCAGAAGCATATACATGTAACACATTGTATTATATGTCTCTGGTGGGGTGGGGTGAGGTTGCTCGGGCATCTACTGTTAATCCTGCTATAGCTAGGCTCCGATGGTAAATCGTTCCAGTCTTATGGTTGATAGAAAAAAGAACGACTGTTGGTGGCAATGAATTCTAGAAACGGTAGTTGATATCACTGATCATGGCCTCTGCCGGGTGGTTCATACTTCTCACTGTGGGATAAGACATGGCTGTGATGCCATAATGACTTATTTATTCTCATGACATAGTAATAAATTAACATATAGAGACAAGAAGTATTTACAACAATATAATGAACTAAGAAAGTGCGGAAAAATGATATACATGATCTATGAGGAGAGACTTAGATATTTACTGCAGAAAACAGTTAAACGTGCTTGTTTTTAACGATATAAATGTTTTATGTATACTGATATTCGTCTATAAATAAAGCTTGTGAACTTTAAACTTGATATCGTACCTACTACATAAGTGTCCTTACGAACAACGGTATAGTGCTGGGTCTTCCAAGTGCTCCACGAAACCTCTTTCTAAATTATTAACATTAATTTTATCAGCAATCAAAGCCGGGCTTCAAAGTTATTGTGAAACTACCTATTCAAGAGGTGGCGTGAATCAGATGTGGATACTAAAAAATTCCAAAGATCTTTTAGAGTACATACAATCTAAGACTCTTTCATCTTGCAATAGTAATAAAACAGTTGACTTTTCTACACTTTACACAAGTATTCACCATTCCAAACTAAAAGACAAATTGAGAGAGTTGGTCCTGCTTTGTTTCATAAAAAAAGAATGGCCAAGTATCTGGTCTAAGGGAGGGATAAATCCTACTTTGTAAAAAAATCACTCTGATTCTAACAAAGCATTATCTGAAACTGACATTATCAAGATGCTTGATTTCTTGATTGACAACATATTTGTTACGTTTGGAGAACGTGTTTTTTCAACAAAAATCGGCATTCCCATGGGAACCAACTGTGCCCCTCTTCTAGCCGACTTATTCCTATATTCATATGAGGCTGACTTCATACAGGATGAAGAAAAGATGTTAGCAGTATTCTTTAACTTTACTTTCCGCTACATAGATGATGTTCTCTCACTAAATAATTCAAAATTTGGTGACTATATTGAACGCATCTATCCCATCGAACTTGAGATAAAGGATACAACAGATACAGTTAAGTGTGCCTCATATCTTGACTTACATCTAGAAATTGACAACGAGGGTCGGTTGAAAACAAAACTTTATGACAAAAGAGATGATTTCAGCTTCCGTATTGTGAACTTTCCGTTTTTATGTAGCAACATTCCAGCTGCGCCTGCATAGGGAGTATATATCTCCCAGTTGATACGATACTCCAGGGCTTGTATTTCCTATCATGATTTCCTTGATAGAGGGTTGCTGCTCACAAGGAAGCTATTAAACCAAGAGTTCCAAGTGGTGAAATTGAAATCATCCCTTCGTAAATTTTACGGACGCCATCACGAGTTGGTTGACCGTTACGGAATATCCGTTTCACAAATGATAGCGGATATGTTCCTAATGTCGTAACTACAATCCCGTCCCCTTTTCCCGAATGTGACCTACCGAATTAGACTTATTACCGGGTTTATACTAATATGAGCAACACGGCGGGTGCCACATGTGGAGCAGGATCTGCTTACCCTTCCGGAGCACCTGAGATCACCCCCAGTTATTGGTGGGGTTCGTATTGCTCAGTCTTTAGTTTTCTATGTTGTGTTTTGTGTACTATTGTTTGTCTGTTTGTCTTTTTCCTTTTTAGCCATGGCGTTGTCTGTTTATTTTCGACTTATGACTTTGAATGTCCCTTTGGTATCTTTCGCCCCTCTTTTATAAGATATCTCGTATATTTTATAAGATATCTTATATAGTTTATAAGGTATCTTGAATTTAGAATAAATAGTAAAACGGCTTGCCATACACAGCAATATCCCATCAATCAAGAACAGATTTAAAAGTGTGATAAGCGAGACAATCTTACCAAAACGAACTTTAAAGATATTTCATTTTTTTTTTTTAAATTAAGGTCATTAAGGTAGTAACAAATGTCAAAACAAGTGGTAACACAGGGTTTACAAAACTGATTTCATTTTTTTACTCGCGCCTCTGTGGTTTTGTTGTAGCGTGCTAGCCCCGAGTGTGAAAAGGCGTGGGTTCGAATCCCGGCGGTGAAAAAAAATTGAGCCTTAGCTCTTAATCCTATATGCAGTGTGCTTAGCGGAGAAACAGCAAATACAAATGTTCAACATTTGTCTTAATCCTATATGCAGTGTGCTTAGCGGAGAAACAGCAAATACAAATGTTCAACATTTGTATTTGCTGTTTCTCCGCTAAGCACACTGCATATAGGATTAATGTTCAACATTTGTATTTGCTGTTTCTCCGCTAAGCACACTGCATATAGGATTAAGAGCTAAGACTGGTTTGCTCGGTGTCAGAAAATGTGTCCTGCCGGTAGGGTGGCATATCTTTCTGTGGACTATTTCATTGTGACTAACACGTTATAATCAGACTGAACATGTCAGTCTAGTACAAAGCAGGGTTTATATTCATATCACATTATCATGTTCTCATCCTGAATATTCATTTAATTTGCCACTGGACATTTAACAGCCAGTCATCATTTTCATCATAATCTCTTTTCTTTGATGTGTGCGACCTAAATGTTACGGTAAACGATCATATCTATGGTTGCAAGCAAAAATAAAATCAGGAACATGAGATCACCATTTGAACGCTAACTTTCGCATCTGGTTACTATCTTGCAGAAAATGTTAAGAATTTCTTTGATATATTTGGATGGCCAAATTTGCAACGGTTGCATTTCTTAATGCTTTTAGTTGCTGACTTTTACAATGTCTCTTTTGTATTTTACCAGAATTTATAACGACATTTATACTTCGGAAGAAAGCCCATTTGTCTCAACAAGTCGAAGTAAATCGAAAAAAAATCAAGAACAGCTTCAGCTAGGTTGTCGAGCCATCACATGCTAGGTTCATTAAGGTTCGATAGAACTTAGATTTGGGACGAATTGTGGTTTTTCTTGAAAATAATAAAAAGAAGTGCAAATTTCAAAACATGTAAACGAGCAAAATTTAAAGGAAAATTATAAACGGTTGGGTATCGGATTTAACATATGATTATGTTCGGAACGAACGATAAATCATTTGAATTTTTGGCTTTACAGTAGCAAATATTAGTGTTCGGGAAAAGTTGGAAATAACGTACACACATGTACGTAACATATATAAATATAACATAACATTCATAAATATATAAAATTGAAAAACAAAAAACGTATCAAATTGAAAATTGTCCCTACATTTTCACACCTCCACATCAAAGGAACAGAAAAAATCAATTAGAAATTAACGGTTGGCGATTAAAAATATATTGTTAAAAAATACGAGTCAAGGTACATGTTTTTTTGCCTAAAGGTAAATCAATTGTATTGGAAATAGAACGATGATGACAAGTGATAAACTGATTGGTAAATCAATTAAAACTATACTCTATATTGTCTACATTTATACTTTAGTTTCACTATTCATACTTATGTTGTATTTTAGAATCTAAGTAATTGGAAAACAAAAGTTACATATATTTTAATGAATTAGCCAGTATATTTCAGGTCTATTCGGGACTTTTCAGGTCCGCGTTCAGTCTTTTAGTATACCCTAAATAAAACTGGTTGCCTGTTGAATTATTTTAACCAGTCACAACCTTGTGTGTAAAAAAAAAACATTGATTTTCAATTTTCCTCACTTATTGTAACCAAGGTACTAAAACAGAGATAGTCTATACCCCTTATTGAACGAGATGCATGACAGAAAATCTATCAAAATCTCTTGGCATGCGGCATGCAACATATTTCAGAACGGTCGGTGTATGCACACTGTCCATGAGAAATTTTCCCAATCCCTCTTACTGATAAAATTCTTTGTACCTTCATGTAGTAAGAGTCTAAAATCTAAAGGTTTGTGCTTAAAAAAATTGATATTGGTGCTGGAAATCCAAAAGTTGGTGCTAAACATTCAAGGATGGGGAGCACTTCTTGTAAATTGTAATACATGTAGAATGTGGTCATAAAATTATAAGTGTGACGGGATTGCTTCCCTTAGTATATGTAATATATACTTAGACAGCCTTAAGCGTTTGAGCTAGGGAACTACTTTTTTAGCTCAGTCGGTTAGAGGTCAGCCTTGTAACACAGAGGTCCCGTAGGAGGCAAAGTGATTTTGCAATATAAGTCATGCTCTACAGTTTCATTTGGCGCCAAACAATAAAAACCCTGACACAGTTAGAAGAATTACCTAGCCAGGGAAGTGTTGAAGATATCATTATAGTAAAATGACTCTTGAGTTGGCAGAATTGTGACGGGATTGCCTCCCTTTGTATGTGTAATAGATACTTTGCCAGCCGTAAGCGGTTGAGCTAGAGAAGTACTTCTTACTTCTTTCAAAGTGATTTGTAATATGAATCATGCTCTTCAGTTACATATAATTATATGGTTAAAGAAAATAGATAGTAAACATGTCTGATATATGAAATATGTTGGACTTCTGGTTTAAGTTCATAATGGGTTGGCAGCCAAAAGCAGAAAAAAAACCCCAGCTATTTACTTAGAATTCCATAAAAGGATTAGGCTACTTGTTTGGATAAACTTTTCTTACTGAAACTTGAAATTATAGGTAAATGAGTTATTTACCTTTTTGAGTTTCTGTCTCGTTGATGTATATTCTACATCTCCATGTATTCATTAAATATATTGTGTTTATTAGCCTCAATGAACAAAACTGGACCATGTGTACCTTGACCATTCCTGTGGTGTTATATTTCAAGATAATTCCAGGAAAATGAACTAGCTTTTCCAGCACTACATGCATGTATGTTCTCTTTTCAGGCAAAAAACATAAAACTAGATATGGTATAATTCTGCAGCAAATATGTCTGTGTCCCTGTTAAAATGTATGAACAGATTGGGGCCATTACATTGGTGTGGCTACAATGGAATACAAGCTCTAGCATTGGTATGTAAGATCAATATTTTGCTTTTACATGTATCTACAATCTTGTTTCTGACTTTTTTCATCTTATATGAACAGTGCATCCAGACTACATACACATACTTAAAAGCTAGTAATATATTAGGAAAAGTAGCCTGATTTGAAGGAACTGCCTATGTTGATATATTGTTGACTAGTAGAATTTTACTGTAAAACACTTCAAGTCAAATGTGAGAAGTTGTCAGATTTTACAGCACATGAACACGAACCTAAATTTTTATCTATTTAGCTGTTTCATCACAACATATAATCATGAACCTGAATCTAAGGTGTTTCATCTGCAGCTCACAATCATGAGACCAAAAAAACCTAAAGGTGCTTCATCCACAGCACACAAACATGAACCTAAATCTGACCTGCTTCATCCACAGTACACAAACATAAACCTGAATCTAACCTGCTTCATCCACAGCACACAAACATGAACTTGAATATTAAGAGTTTCATCTGCTGCACATGGACATGAATCTGAATTTAAGGTGTTTCATCCACAGCACACAAACATGAACTTGAATCTAAGCTGTTTCCACTGCAACATACAAACATGAGCCTGAATCTATAGCTGATTTATCCACAGCACACAAACATGAACCTAAACCTTAGCTGCTTCATCCACAAAACACAAAAATGAACCAGAATCTAAACTGCTTCATCCACTTCACACAAACATGAACCTAAATCTTAGCTTTTTCATCCTTAGCACACAAACATGAATCTTTACTTGAACTGCTTCTTCTGCAGCACATCAACATGCATCTTATAAGCTGCTTCACCCACAGCACGTGAACATGAACCCTAATCTAAGCTGCTTCATCCACAGCACATCAACATGAACCTAAATCATGAAAAAAAATTATCACCTGAAACCTATGACTTTGAACACATTATTACCAAGCTTGTCCACAGTTATGATAATAATACATTTTGTGTACATGTATTATATTTTAAAATAGTATAAATATGAACCAGTTCATTAAATTATGAATATTGGTCAGTTATAGTTATTGGCTTATAGTATTTTCCAATTACTAATGAAATTCCAAATTTATTATCATCCTAGTAAAAATGTTTTATTTTTGCAAAAAGTCTGAAATTGATCTGTAGTCTGAAAACCTGCTTTTGAGGGACTGAACCATGTCCCAAATTCTTGCCCCAAACAGGCCGTGGATGTCAGCAGTTTCAGCATGTTCAGACAAAGTATTCTAAGTGTTCTTTTTTTTTCAGAATAAAATCAAGTGGTATCCAGTTCCGGCAGTTACAGTGGTTCCAGGAAAACAATATGTAACTTTAAGCAATAAAATTCTATGTGAAAAAGACAAAATATTAGGAATTCATTGTAAACATTTACATGTAGTACCTGATGAACCAAGATCTAAGGGTCGCCAAGAAAAAGACAAGGTACCACATGACTTTGTTTTCATATTTCAAAGCTCTTATGAAAATTTTATAAAACTAATTGGACTTCTTGTACCATTAATGTCACTTATAGCAGGTACAACAATTTTTGAGATTCAAAGTCGATTTACTGATCCAGAAAAAGAAAAAGTACACATTGACAAAAGTAAAATTCCATTCATTATTGGAGGTTCAGCTTTCGCCATTATTCTGATTACTTGCCTTACTAAAATCTACAGATTTACAATGATCAGAATGTATAAGCATATAGATTCTGACTTGTTTATTGGTGTTGTTCCAAGATGGTTCCTTTGGACAAAGAACTTTACATTTCGACCCTCAGATATAAAACGTTTCCCACCTTCAGGTTATATACGCTTTGTTAGAGGAGATATACAGATTAAAAGAAGACCTTTTGTTTTAGACTTTGGTGAATTTGGACTACCAAAATATTATAATGAGATACTAGGATATGATGTGGAGGCTAGTGGTAGACAATTTGAGGAAGATTTGATGATAGAGAAATTTAAAAGGAAAAAATAAACTTATTTAACATGAAAGTCTTATGATTTTTGTTTTGTCTGAATGTGATTAAAACATGGAATAGGAAATGTATTTATTGGTTTTCAAATTCTGTGCTGCCATTTGATTTTGATTATATTAAAATAGGAAAAAAATGTACTAAACTTTCAAATTTCCAGGTATTTAAAAGTAAAGAGGTAGGACCAATTTCCCCTGATTTAATTTCACACCAGTGCCATTTTCAAAAAGTCTGTCAACTTTACTTAAAATTCACAGTATACAGTTCCTATGTGTACTTTGAGGTTTTAACAATATTATGGCCTTCTCAATAGTACAACAATTTGCCAATGCTTGAAGATAGCCCAAAACTGCAATTATGACAGATATAGGCAAATTTTGAGTTTTTATCCCAAAAATGTTTAAGAAGGACATTGTTAATCAAAACCAAATTTTGTATATTATATTTTACTTTCACTATCATTTCAGTATGAACTAACTATCCCCCTTAGCCATGCGTGCATGGCTAACCCTATTTAGTTGGGTTAGTTTTCATCATAAATTTCTCATCAATTTTCCAGAATTCAAAATTATTCCAGATTCAAATAATTCCTTGGGTGTGTTTTTTGTTGTTCGGTAGTGAGCCAGAAGAGGTCCATTTCTATTTTTTTGAATTAGGAAGATCTTCTGGCTCTCTTCCACCTCTTCTTTTTAAATAGGTGGTTTAGACGGCAGAGGCACAAAACAAACATGGCGTCGTTTAGTCTAAATAACATTAATAAATTCATGAATGAAGATATATTAGAATGTGAGCTGTGTTATAAACGTTTTTATGGTATGACAGCCTTAGTAGGACATCTCTGTAGGACGATAAGCTGGATGAATATAAGAACTACACGGACAATAACAGTTAAGGGACAACTATTTGAATTCTAGGGGAGGGATTTTGATTCATTGGTGTTTTACGGTACTTTCAACACTCATGATTGGGCTCAGTAGTAGTCAATTTAAATAAATGAGGAATTAATGAAGAAGGAAAGAGGGCATTATTATTCATTTTAATTTGTCGCTAATCATGCCTATTTTTTAGCTCTAACCAGGCAACCATATTCATATACGAAATCCTCCTGTCCCCCATCCCAACAAATAAATAATTATCAGATGGTTTTCTCTTATTAAACACAAGTTTAAATTGATCATGCTAATTTTTAACGCCCAGTGACAAATATTTCATGCATGTTCAGGAAAACACGAGATAAAAAAATTCGGGTAAATTATATAAAAACGAATTAAAGATGTGATATGATTGCTAATGAGGCAACTATCGTAATATGAAGTGGATGTAAGCAATTATAGGCAACCTTAATGTCTTCAACAATGACGAAACCCGATACTGTAAAGCTGTTTATAAAAGGCCATTAAAAGTGTGAAACAATTCAAACGATAAAACTAACGGCCTAATTATACAAAACAAAACAATTTACAAAATATCAAATATGAGTTGAGACATGAACCAACGACAACCACTAAACTACAGGCTCCTGACTTGGGACAGGTTCATAAAGAATATGGCAGTGTTTTATATAAAAACGAAGATGTGGTATGATTTCCAATGAGACAACTCTTCACAAGAGACCAAATGATACAGAAATTAACAGCCATATGTCACAATAATCAAAGCCCATACCACATAGTGAGCTATAAAAAGCTCCGAAATCACAAATGTAAAACAATTCAATGGTAAAAACTAACGGCCTAACTAATGTACAAAATAAAGTGAACGAAAAACAAATAAGTAACATAGCAACAAACGACAACCACTGACTTACAGGCTCCTGACTTGGGACAGGCACATACATACAGAATGTGGCGGCGTTAAACATGTTAGCGGGATCCCAACCATCCCCTACCTGGGACAGTGATGTAACAGTACAACAACTTGTTTGTGAGCGCTCAATCCTCCCCGAAGCTGAAACAGTAGTGTAGCAGTTCAATATAAGAACAACCTGCGCAAATCAGTTGCAATAAGATTAACTCAAAAGATCGGTACAAGACACACAAAAGATTCCGGCCAACTAACATGAAGACAATAGACTCAAAGCATCGAACTAAGAGTATTTGCAATTACTAGAAGTTTGTTCAAAGCTAGTTGCAACTAGTACTGAAATAAATCTTGTTCTCACAGACTTAAGTATCAATCAGTACACAACCAACTGATTTATTAAATAAAAGTCTAAGAAACGTCTGGTATACGTTGTAGACCCATTGGTGGCCTTCGGCTGTTGTCTGCTCTTTGGTCGGGTTGTTGTGTCTTTAACCTGGGAATAGTATATCTATATATATATGTTCCTGCTTTGACACATTCCCCATTTCCATTCTCAATTTTATTACATATAGATCCATATGTACAATAAAAAAAATTTGAAAAGTGGTAGTCCGAAGGTTTTGACCATCGAAATTTTGCATTAGAAATAATAGTTAGGACCAGAAGATTTTCTTCAAGGACCGCCAGAGAAAAAACGATTTTTTCGAACTTTCTGATATCTTGTTAATCCAGTTCGGTTACTTTTAAAAAAAAATGGAAAGACTAAGATTTCCTTTTTGATCAGTCATAGTCCAGACAAACATTGACGAATTCTTGTGCAGTTTAAAATTATTCTTAAAAATCAAATAGTGGGGGTTAAGCCTGATTTGTTTAGCAAAATTGAGTTAAAGGAAAGCATAAAGAAAATTGTAACGAACAAGAGAACACTTTTACAGTCATGTCTACTGGACGTATCTTAATTTTCTAAAATAAATCGTAAACTTAATTTATGTCATCCAACATAACAAAAACCTGCTATATTCGACGGCAAATTGCATTTTTATTTTATTGATCTTCCATAGAATATCTCCAGAAGAGGTCCAGATTCATTTTTTTGGACTCTTCACCAGAAGACATTCTGGAGATGTACCGAAGAGACCAATAAAACAACCCCCTTGTTTATAAACTGTTGACACAAAAATATGTCTTGCCTTTTCGTAATTTTGGTAGTATAATGACATATTTTTAATCCAAATGGCAATATTTAAACATGTAAACTATGCAAAACATTCATAGTCAATGAACCATGACTAATGTGCAGGACCAATTAACCTCCATGGAAATGAGAAATGCCAATGCTTATAAAACTACACACCAAATACCATTGACTAATTATAAGTGGTGCCCTTTACACTAACCAAAACACAAACTTTAACCTGTAAACAATGTAAAAGTTTCAAAGTCAATGAACCATGATGAGGGGATGAGGCCATATAATCTCCATGGAGAAGAGACTTGCAAATGCTAATGTAACTGCATACCAGAATATCATTGACTTAACATTAGTGGTACCTCTTAAACTGATCTAATCACAAACTTTAACATGTGAACTATGCAAAACATTCAAAATCAATAAACCATGACTGAAGAGGCAGAGCCAAATAATCTTTATGGAAATGAGATGTGCCAATGCTAATACATCTACGTACCAAATACAGTTGCCCTACCACTAGTGGTTCCCCATAAACTGACCTAATCACTAACTAATACATGTATGTAAAGTTTTCGAAAGTTTCAAAGTCAATAGACCATGACTGAGGGAGTAGGGCCAAATGATCTCTATGGAAATGAGATGTGCCAATGCTAACACAACTGCATATCAACTTTATCACAAACTAATACATTGTTGACACAGCCGTCGGAAACAGCATACCTAAGTCTCGCTTTTTGACTCCGTCAAGGCGAGACAATAAAAACATGTTAATTCACAATTTAGTATTAAAATGCCTTTTACAGCAACACTAAGCACTGATTAATGTTTGATTTTTATGGGATTGTATAAAATTGTTCAAATTTTTCTAAATTATATGATATAGACTATATTCAATGTTCAATTTCTAGTAGGATTTGACAACTTTTATATTTCTACCCTGCAAGTGAAACAAATAAAAGGGAAATTGGCCATACCTCTTTTGATATGAAAAGAAAAAAATATACATACTTTGATGACTTATTTACTTTTTAGATATTTTAGTTTCATTTTGTCCTAAAATATTTGAGGAGTAAGATCAGAGGGGGTAACATTGGGGTGCTCATTTCAATGCCACTTTATTGTGTAATTTTTTTACCCCCTATATCCCACATTCCAAAAATGTGTCATCCCCTCATATCATTGATATCAAATTTTTACAACAGTCAAGAAGAGTACTAAAACTTTAGCAACAAAAGAGGGAGTTTCTTCCAAATTTTCTTTAAAATGTTTCATACATTGTAGGCATTCAAGTTATGAAACATAATAAGTTGATAAATTCTAAATCATTTGAGAACATGCAATTATTATTTTTGTTGAAACAGATTTTGACAACTTTTTAAATAAATGCGGAAAATGCACACAGAAAAAAATTAGGACTTATGAATTTTTTTCAGGTTTTAATTGATTAAAAAAGGGGGTCCATGTGCTAGTTTTAGATATATTCCAGGACAACCTCAATTTTATGATAGAATTGATTGTTTACCTTAGCATTGTGACAACATCAAAAGTGAATCCTTGGCAACATCATTACCTGTAAAAAGTGCAAAAACTATCCAATTCTGAGATCTTGCCATGACTGTTGTTTAGGTATGAGCTCAGATCTTGGCATGATTGTTATTAAGATTTGAGCTGAGATCTTGTCATAGCTCGTGTGCAAATTTTCGCATGAAATCACTATGGGATCAAACTGTCGTATCAGTGTACTTAAAACTGAAGAATTTTGCAGTGCTCTCAGTTTCAGGGGCTGAATCAGCCTAAATCTTAAAGTGACAAAAGATGTGCCATAAATACTTGATAATATTCAGGGGCGGATCCAGCCACTTTTAAAAGGGGGGTCAAACTATATGTCCCCATTCAAATGCATTGATCGTCAAAAAAAGGGGGTTCCAACCCCGGACCACCCCCTAAAAAAGACCAATTTATCATCATCATCTTGTCTGAACCTTAACACAGTGCCCGACTATATTGTGACGTTATAATAGACCATATACGTTCTACACAATAAACAAGTTTCGTGTGTAGAAGCCATAAATGTCCCTATCTTAAAATTAACCCTAATTTTTAACCATAACGTAAACTAACCCCTATTACTCTGATCACAGGGACCCATAAAAGAAAGAAAAGCCGAACCATTCTGATTTGATATAGCATTATAAACTTAGTATTGAAATTATGCACTTATTCGATTTTGCCTTCCAGCTGATTCTAGACCCACTGGTATATGTTGTGTTATCGAAATGCACGCCTGGCATACAACTTTACTGATAAACATGGTTTTATTCGTTAGAAAGGCAATCACATAGATGGCCCTTTTGATTAATTTACCGTATAGTCTACAATTGTATCAAAATGCACACTACATGGCAGCCATATTTGATTGTGGTCTATTTTGAAAATTGAAAAAAATGATCGGCCGTATTTTGATAAAGTCACGAGTAGTCCGTGTTATAAGGTAACTTGTTGGTGATTGAATAATACTTCGTCCAAAAATCAGTTCCCAATAGAAAATCTCCAAGGTGTATATCCATGGTAGTTTCCAGGCTCATTCAAATCAAAGACTGCTCCGACATTGTTCTCGTCTACTTTTTCTAGTGTAGTCAGTCTGCGAGCCACTCGGAACATAAACTGTAAATCGTCAGGTATATTTATATAATGACAACACACAAGTCGCAACTTCTTTATGTGAGTGAACACATCCTTGTTCTTCCGAAGAAAAGTTATTATTTCACCACATTCCGAAATGACCAAATCCTTTTCTACTTTGCATTTCCATTCTACAGAATTACTCAGATGGCAATGTGGGTAACAAGGGTCTTCAAACGTTTCTCTCTTTATCGAAGTAAAAATACTATCGTATTTGTGAGCAATAAGTTCCTGCTTTAGTGGCGCACCATTTCTGTCGTATAGTAATATCGTCAAGGACACAACATTTTCCAGAACTAAGTTATTCCGTAACTTCCAGACTATTTTGTTTACATTACTCTTTGGGTTTTCCGTCTCCTTAGCAACGTAACCACACACAAATGCTATAGAAACACCAGTACCTATCTCAGCACTAGTATCACATGGTGACAAGTGCACAAAACTTCCATTCATCATTTTTGAAAATGTTTTACAGTGTTTCGTTCAAAGTTTGTTTTCCGTACAATGTCAAGACGTCGAAACTACGTCATAGATCTACAATCATAGCAGGGTTGGAATAGTAAGCAAGTCATGTACGACACAACTATTATATAGAACTATTTTCTTTCTTTGTCTATTGTCGTTACATCAACGATTGACATGTTGTTACTTGATATTTTTCTTAAGAGTGATCCATCTTTTTGAATTCTTGAAATCTTACATGTTAAAAGTATCACGATGATATACATTTGTCGAAGATAACAAAAATCTCTTACCTAAAACCCCAATAAAATATCTTTTATATGCAAGTATGGCCAGCAAAGATAAATATCATAAGACGATTGCCAACATCACTGTTTGTGTCTCGCTTGCGACGAAAGTTGCATAATGCGAGACATATGGATGCTTATCCGGTGTCAACGAAGGCGTAAACGCATATATAACATTTCCTGGATCCGATCTCAAGGTTAAATTTCTTGATAAGGTCCATTTTCATGATCAGATACTATAAACAGTAGGTCAACTATATTCAGTGTAAAATGATTGTAAAGTGTACATGTCAGTCTAGCAGGTTTCATCTGACCTTGGCATTATTTTCATGGTTTATTGATCAATAATATTGTTGTTTTTATGCCCCCGCAGTAGCGGTGGGGGCATTAAGTTTTACCCTTGTCCGTCTGTACGTACGTCCCAAAATTGGTTTCCGTTCTCTAACTTGAGTTTGCCTCAACCAAATGTTATTAAACTCATACACAATGCTTATTACCATAAAACACAGATCAAGTTTGAATTTTGATGGCGTCACTTTAATCGTTCAAGAGTTATGCCCCTTTATAAATGGAAAAATTGCAAAATTTTTAGTTTCCGTTCTCTAACTTAAGATTGCCTCAACCAAATGTTATGAAACTTATACGGAATAACTTAGTTCTAGAAAATGTTGTGTCCTTGACGATATTACTATACGACAGAAATGGTGCGCCACTAAAGCAGGAACTTAAGTATACACAGTGCTTATTACCACAAAACACAGATCAAGTTTGAAATTTGGTGGCGTCACTTTGATCTTTCTAGAGTTATGCCCCTTTACAAAAGGAAAAATTGCAAATTTTTTAGTTTCCGTTCTCTTACTTAAGTTTTTCCTCAACCAAATGTTATGAAACGTATACACAATGCTTATTACCACAAAACACAGATCAAGTTTGAATTTTGGTGGCGTCACTTTAACCGTTCTAGAGTTATGCCCCTTTATAAATGGAAAAATTGAAAAAACATCTCCCTCTCAGATATGTGTTATTTAATTTATTATACTGAATGTTCTGTTATTACTGTCGATTTAATTTCAAATTCAAAGTAATAAACTATGACGTCTTGTACATAACAACCATCCGTATTAAATAAAGCGCACACTTGATCAAGCGTCTCCGTGAAGGGTAATAGAGTATTTGCCATAGGATAGAGTCGTATTTAATAAAGCGCACACTTGATCAAGCGTCTCCGTGAAGGGTAATAGAGTATTTACCATAGAATAGAGTAAATTAACACCCTCGTATAAGCCAATCAAAATATTGCATTTTTACGTGAAGTATAATAATATATAAATAACACATATATATAGCTGAGAGGGTGATAGAGCAGATTGTTACCCCGAGAAAACATTGTCAACTGAGGCGAAGCCAAGGTTGACAATGTCTTTTCGAGGGGTAACAATGTGGTCTATCACCCTCTCAGATATGTGTTATTTAATTTATTATACTGAGTGTTCTGTTATTTCTGCCGATTAAATTGCAAATTCAAAGTAATAAACTATGACGTCTTGTACTGAAAGCAATAGCTTACTAATGTTTGATGTATGGCATTAATGACTATAAGGTGTACATGTTCATAATTCTGAAAGGGTTCATCAGCCTTTTACTCCATTTACATGGATCATTGATAATGTTAAGTTTCTGCGCCACTTGTAGTAAAACCTTTATCTTAAGGACTCTCAACTTAAATTCCATCATGACCAGTCCAGTAAAGCATTTGAGCGTGTGCACTCTTATTATTTATATATATATAATTTAATTTTGGATGTAACGTGTCTTCTGATTGGCTGACGTTGTTTTGTTTATCAGCTCAGTCATAGACATAATTTTGTCATGTGACCGTGACGTCATCAACGTTTTTTCATGGTTTACGCCGGTTTAAAATGGAATTTAGAATTAAATTATAAGGAATGACTGTAATATTTTTTCTGTCTATTCGAAATAACATAAAAAATGTGGTGCACACTTAAAAATAACCCGCTACGCGCGTTATTCAGTGTGCACCACATTTTTTATGTTATTTCTTCATAGACAGAAAAAATATTACAGTCATTCCTTAAATATCTCCATATGAACACGTTACTGTTTGATATGAGTGTGGTTTTTATACGCCCGTCGAAGACGGAACGTATTATGGTAAACCAATGCAATACCGTCCACCAGTCCGTCTGTCCGTCAACACTTCCTACAATAACTCAAGTTCGCTTCAACCAATTCTCATACAACTTTAACACAATATTAGAATTGACGGAATACTTTGGGAAGAAAGCTTCCTTCAATTTTTTAATTTTTGGCTTTGTCATTCCAGAGTCACGGAACTTTGACCCTTAGATTTAAGGCAATATTTCACAAATAATTTAAAATTTAGACCAGGTAAATTTTGCAGGGGCTGATACCTGATTCTTAAACGTACAAAAACTATGTTTTAAATGAGAGAACAAAAACAATAACAAAATTAACTAAAAAGTTAATACATAGACAATAAGTCAATATAAAAATTTAATGAAGTTCAACGTAACACGATATACACTGGGAAACTTTGTCATTGAATGGAAATGTTCTTCTGTATTATTACTTCATTTTGTTTTAAACACTGCCATTCTATAAAATCATGGCGTGTATGATTTCATTAACACTGGTTCACACGTGACTTTGTTGAATGGATTGAACGGATAAGTAAGTGTAACAGTCTTAGACATTGGTCCTTTCCTCGCAAAATTTTGTGGTCTATACTCTTTATCTGGCAATTCCCTGAAAGAAAATAGATTATATATATAATTTATATATATACCCGGAGATGTCTTTTTTCTCGTCATCAAGTTGATACTTCTTTAACACAACAAAACAACTTATTGTTTGTATACATAGGCAAAATATCTCGCCGCGATATAAACTTTTTGTGCTGAGGATGAGTTAAGTAAATACCAACCAATCAATCAATCAATCATATGCACAATATTTAAATGTAACAGTTTAAATTATTGATGCTGCTTTGTGTTTTTTCTTCTTTTATAAGGGGGTTGAGGTGGTGTTATTTGGAAGGAGGGAATCGGCATGATTTTGATATTGAGCTTTTTTATGGAACACCATCGCGTGTTTGGTAACCAAGCCGATTTTGTATTATTGCTTGCAAAGCGAGACTGGAATATTGGTTTTCGAGTTTTCGAGCGGCAACAACATAAGTCTAGAAATTATGTGGTTTGAGTTGAAAACAAAATTGCACGTGATATTGATAAACATTACTTATCGATCTGAGCGCTTTTCACCGTCCAATTTTTGGTCGCTATACGATATGATGTTGAAAAGGGCATTAGACGAAACTAATCATATTATTTGTTTGGGTGATCTAAATAAAAATTTTCTTCTCAACCTACCTAACTGTATCAGTGATATACTAAGTATAAATGGTCTATTTAATACAATTAACGACGCTACTCATTTTGATTCACGAACTGGTTCGTTGTCCTTATTAGACCCAATATTAATAACTGATTCCGTTCAATTTATTGACTCGGGTATTATACCTATCAATAGAGACATAAGTGATCATGAAGGTACTTACATAACAGTCAGAAGCGGGTTCAGTAACTCGAAGAGTTTCAAACGTACAATATGGGACTATAAAAGGGGGGATTATAATTTAATGAAACAGATGGTTTCAGAGGTCGAATGGAATAAATTACTGGATAATGATATTAACATCCATGAATCTTGCAATATATTTACGCACGAATTTTTAAAAGTGACTGAATTTTGCATTCCGAAAAAAGAAGTTATTATTCGATCTAATGATAAAATCTGGTTTAATTCAAATCTCCGTAAAGAAATAAGAAAACGAGACAGGTTTCGGAAAATATTTTCAAAAAATAAAAGCACTACAAACGAAAAGAAATTTAAAAACCAAAGGAATCGAGTGAATAATTTGAAGAAACAAATTAAACAAAACTTTTACGAAAATATTAATGAAAACTTAAATGAACTCAAGCAAACAAATAGTAGAGTATATTGGAAAATCATAAACTCCTTATTAAAAGAAGACAGATCTTCAAATGATATTCCACCGATGCAAAACCCAAGTAATAATTTTGAATTTTCTTATGATGCAAAAGAAAAAGTTGATATTCTAAATAGATATTTTTGTTCAATAGCTAGTCTAGATGAAGAAAACAAAAATTTGCCTGACTTCGATGATAGAGGTATTAACGTTTTGTCAGAAATTACTGTAACTTTAGAAGACGTTAAAGATATTATTTCTACTTTAGATCCAAATAAAGCTGTTGGTCCAGACAAAATCAGTAATAGAATGCTTATAACAGTAAAAAATGAAATTGCACTTCCCTTATGTATTCTTTTTAATAAATCGCTCTCTCAAAATATATTTCCTAAAGATTGGAAATTGGCATATGTTATTCCTTTATTTAAAAATGGAGATAAGTCAATGCCGTCTAATTATAGACCGGTATCACTTCTTTCTTGCGTGAGCAAGGTACTGGAAAAAATAATATATAAACATATGTTCAATCATTTAGTTTCTAATAAACTTTTGTATGAATTTCAGTCTGGTTTCATACCCGGCTGCTCTACTTTTCATCAACTAATTGAGATGTACCATTCTATCGTGTATGCTTTAGACAATAAATTTTATACAAGTTTAACTTTTGCTGATGTAAGCAAGGCATTCGATCGAGTTTGGATAAGGGGCCTACTTCACAAGTTAGAAAGATATGGTATAAAAGGCAATCTGTTAATATGGCTTGAAAGTTACTTAACAAATAGAACTCAGAGGGTAGTATTAAAAGAGGCGACTTCCGAATTAGGTAATCTTAAAGCTGGTGTTCCACAGGGTTCGGTACTGGGTCCTCTTTTATTTCTAATATTCATTAATGACATTGCAGATGATATGATTGGATTAAGTAGAATGTTTGCAGACGATACATCTATTGGACATACCGCTCCAGATGAAACTACTCTTCAATCTATGATAAATATCGATCTACAAAATATTAATTCCTGGGCAAATGATTGGCTAGTTAAATTCAATCCCAATAAAACTAATATCATGTTGTTTAGTAACAAAAATTCAAAAAATAACTTGATTTTTGATTTTGGCGGAGTTCAGGTAGATACAGTTATTAGTCACAAACATTTAGGTATATTTTTTAGCAGTGACTGTAAGTGGACCAAGCATATTGATTCTTTAATAGAAAAGGTATCAAAAAAATTAAATGTTCTTAGACGTTTGAAATTCCGACTAAAAAGGGAATATTTAGAAAAAATATATTTAACTTTTATAAGGCCCGTTCTAGAATATTCTTCTGAAGTTTGGGATAATTGCGGACAGTTAAATTCTGAAAGATTAGAAAAATTACAACTGGAAGCAGCACGTATTGTCACTGGTTTAACAAGCTATGCTAGCACTCAATCCCTTTATTTAGAGACGGGATGGGAGAAGTTAAAAATTAGACGGGAAGTTAAGAAATTAACTTTATTTTACAAAATTATGAATGAGGACGCTCCAGAATACTTATTAGATTTAATACCCCCTTCAGTTGCAGAAACAAACAATTATAATCTACGAAACAGTCAAAATATATACCAAACCTCTAGCAGACTGTCCCTTTATCAAGAATCATTCATTCCATCTAGTATTAAACTGTGGAATTCGCTCGATTTAAGCATTAGAAATGAACTGTCTTTAAATATGTTTAAATTAAAAATTAAACAGAAATATTATAAAAACAAATCACCCCCTACATATTTCACTATTGGCGATAGATATTTAAATGTTTTGCACGCAAGATTAAGAAACAAATGCAGTGCCCTTAACATGGATCTGTATCACGCAAATATTAAACCTAACGCAATGTGTCAATGTGGTTATTTATATGAAAATGCTCAACATTATTTCCTTTCATGTAAAAATTATACAGCTCAAAGGAATATCTTATTTTTGGAACTTAGAAAAGAAAATATACCTACTGACTTGGAAACTTTAATGTACGGTAATGATATGTTTAATATTAATATAAACACGCTAATTTTTACAAAAGTGCAGAATTATATCAAAGACACCAATCGCTTTTCATAGTGTATAGACATTATGGTTAAATATATAACAATAATAATGTAATTACTTTTGTTGACTTCGAATGAAATTGTTCATTTTTTTTCCAAAGACATGGATCATCAATTTGATTTTATATATAAAATCCTATCAGTTGACAACAACAATTTAATTTAATTGCTTTAAAATAATAACTTACCTTTTGAGTGAATATTTATATTCCAAATCTAAAACAACCTACTAGGTCTATCATATAAATTTACGGTCAACTCGACTTTTAGAAATCGATGAGCCATGTCGTTTAAATTCTTGTTAATTTCATGTCTCCATATTAATATTGTTTATGATGTTATTATTATGTATTTTATTTTGTTCGGTTATTTATTATTTGTATGTAATGGAGAAGACGTTCTAAGTTGCAAAACTTGTGTCTAATCCTATTGTCAATGTTTTTGGACAATAAAATATGTTTAAACTTTAACAACATAAGCAACTATACAAACATCTTTATATATATATATCTTATTCCCACTTTCTCCCAAGTTAACCAGAGGTTGTCATGATGAGAACCATCCAATTACTGTGCAAGTGACGATAATCCACTTATTCTATTTCATAGTTTCTATATTATAAGTAGATACGAACCTGTACGAAGACTTCATGACACTGGTCATATGTGGTCGCTCTGGTTCCCGTTCCATTTCTATTTTAGGTGGTTGTCGAGGAATAAAGCCAGCATATCCAGGACATTGACGCACGCTGTAATTTACAAGATTGTTCATCTTCACTGTAGGGAATCCATATTTAGTTTCTTTATGAGGTAGATACAAGTTTATCGACTGGTTAATTAGATGACTGAATAACTTTAATGTGCTTCGATCCTTTCACAATTTTTGAACATCTGAACCCTTTACTGTTGATTTAATTGATAGTTTCGTGTGCAATTGTGGACATATGTAACAAAGTGTTTAGGTTGTGTCATTTCAAATACTTACTAGATTTTGTGAATTTTGTTATCTTCTACAAGCTTTCTAATTTTAGGAGAATTTATTCTTGGTCTTTTCTCTGTAAGTTTTCCTTCATTTATCCTACAATAATATGATTAATCATGGATCGCGCCTCACATCGAAATAAACCATAACTCTTGGATACTTTATGTCGTTCGCTTGCTGTCTCATTGACGACCCTTCGTTTATTTATATGAAGCCTTTGAGTAATTATGTTGAAAAATAAAAAAATTATATTAGAAATCTAAATATATCACTAACCTGGAATACATGTTAAATTTCCCCTAAAATCAAAATATAAACACGCGTAAATTATATCTTTAAGTATTTGATCGACTTCTCTTCTATTGACGAGGTCAACAGTTAAATGTACAGCTTTTAATAGCATAACACGACCTGTACTTCTTTAATCTCAAACCTTAAATACTACAATCTGTATTAATTATGATTAAATTTTAAAATGATTATTTTATGTGTTATATCTTGATTCGAGTTTTGGAAAGCACCCAGCAAGGGTCAAAAGACAAAATGCAAAAGGTGCGTTACAGTTATAGTAAACGTCCATCATTCATTCCTGCAATAAAAAGTTTCAAAATATGTTATTTAGTAATAAGACATTTGTTCTTTGGAAATTGTAAAACTTAAGAAAAAAAAAGAAAAAAAGAACTTAGATTGGTGGTTGTTTAATAGATTACTCTGGTATCGAAAAGGAAATAGCTTACAGAACAATGATTTCTACCATGTATAATAGATAACGCACCGATTCTGAATTCTGTTGACTTATGATTTCCGAATAGCAACAAAAAGCTTTTAATTATACTTTTCTTAGTTAAAAAAATCAGTGGAATATTTGTATGCAACGAACTTTATTAAAACAGTCTATGGGCTAGAGGTATAGGGGGAGGGTTGAGATCTCACAAAACATGTTTAACCCCGCTGCATTTTTGCGCCTGTCCGGAACCTCTGGCCTTTGTTAGTCTTGTTTGTTCTTTTAAATTTTGGTTCATTTATATGTTTCGGAGTTTAGTGTGACATCCATTTTCGCTGAACTAGTATACATTTTTGTTTAGGGGCCAGCTGAAGCCCGCCTTCGGGTGCGGGATTTTCTCGCTATGTTGAAGACCCATTGGTGGCCTTGGGCTGTTTTTCTGCTCTTTGTTCGGGTTATCTATTTGACACATCCATCGTTTCCATTCTCAATTTTATTACCTTTTCAATAAGATTCTTTCTGGCATACCAATTGACTTCTCCTTGAGATCTTCATGAAACACACAACCTCTAAGTTGTATCCTGTCCCACAACACAGCATTTTGCCAATCTTCGACTGAAGACTCGTATCGTTGTCCACTGAGACGTATCATATCTGCCTTCTTCTCTATAACAGATGTAGGCGGTGTAACCTGTACAACAACCATTTGCATTGATTTTGTTCTCTTTTAAAATAACTGAGATATTTAGGACCATTTGTCAACTTGAACTTGTGATAGTGTGAAAATACAGTGAACTGTAGTTGACTGTTTGGAAATATTAATGCAAAAAATATGTTCGTGGGTTGATTTAAAAGAGGACGTACCACTCTCCATCTAAATTTTACAAAAGTCTGACCGAAACCTAATTGCACAAAATGATTATATAGGAGTTTAAAAAGAGGATTAATAACAAGATACCAATAAACAATAAACAAAGAAGACTATTCTGAAATTCACAAAACATTATAAAGAGAACCAAAGTCGGAGCCATGTGAATCCTTTTGATACCGTGCATTGCCAACAGCATGCGCTGCGGAAGGACAATCATTTCTCGATCCCCTAACTATAACCTGCGTGTTGCTCCGATCAAACAGTTATAGAGACATCGCACAAAACGTAAATTGGCTGAGATAAATCTCGTTCTACCCTAACACAGTATCAAATAAATAAACCAAAGATTAAATGTAAATTTACTAAACGAAAGACATTTCCGAAAATTTGAATTGAAGATACAGGCGGTATCATTAACAAGAAACATTACTACACATACAATGCAGTCATTAAAGCAAGAATGTGTCCATAGGACACGGATGCCCCACTCGTACTATCATTTTTTATGTTCATTGAACCATGAAATTGGAGTCAAAACTCTAATTTGGCATTAAAATTAGAAAGATCATATCATAGGGAACATGTGTACTAAGTGTCAAGTTGATTGGACTTCAACTTCATCAAAAACTACCATGACCAAAAACTTTAACCTGAAGCAGGACAGACGGACGGACGGACAAACGGACGGAGAACGAACGGACGCACAGACCAGAAAACATAATGCCTCTACTACTATCGTAGGTTGGGCATAAAAATATCACAAAACCATTGTGTCCTGAAATAGGAGGCGAGTGAGCCTAGAATAAAGTTCTAGATTTATAACTACATGTACTAGTAATTGATGAGCAGCCTAAAATGTGCCGAGGAAATCAGAAGTATTTTTTCTTTATTTATTGAAAGTCATTTAGTTAGAACTTTGTTCCTCTCCTTATGGTAAATATTAATTGAATAATCTGTAATATATCTGAGGCCCCTTATGGGAGTGTCCATGTAATCACATAATCACAATTTTTTTGCCAATATAATCATATAATCATTAATTATTTTTTTAAACAATATAATCAAATAATCAAAAATACAGTCCTAGATTATCAAATAATCAAATAATCATGAAATATTTGGTCTGATAATAAAATAATCACTATAAAACGGCCAAGTAATCACATAATCAAAAACCCCATGAGGAGGCTCGTATCTCAGAACTACCCTTTACATACTAAATATTTTAACATTTGACATTTAATTTAATTCTATTTATTAGAGCTGATGTTTTTGGTTGCTAAAACAGATCTTTAATATACTTACTTTCATGACTGGTAGACACGCTTCACCATTAGCTTGTTTGGTGGCAGACGTCCATTGATATTTGTGAACCAATGAATTAACCAGATTGGAATCCATATGACCAAACTTTGTTTGAAAAAGACTTGCTTTCTTCGAACCAGCTGATTGTAACTTCTCAGCGCGACTTTTTCTGCCATTATGTTTTGTTTTGTCAGAGCTTTTTGGTCTGACTATAGATATGTCCTGTGGTGTAGGAGTTTGTGTTATAGTTTTCGGTTCTAGATATCTACAAAACAATAAAAGTTATTCGTTGATATGACAGTATATCTGCAAATGAATCAGCATATCTCTAAATTAGTTGTATTATGATAAAAAATATAACGGGTTTCGTTTATCACACATGAAATGTTTTCAGTTTATGAATTGCGGCTCTTTTAAATAGTCAAACACACATTAGGTGCTTTTTGTCTTAAAAAAAAAGAGTGAGGCGAACAGTTACCCAACAATTTATTTAAAAGAAAGCCGGATGCTTCAGAATCCTTACTGTTGTGTATTTGAACCCTTCGTCCCTAATCCCAGAGCTGGCCCTGGATCCTCCTGAATAATTCTATGTGGTGTAATTGGCTCTATAGGAAACTGTCTCGGTGGTTGTTGTCTGGCATACCGATGGACGATAGACTTAACCTGGTAGTACTTAATTGGCGGCAGAATTTTTTTGTCGCCTCTATAACAAAATCTGTACGTTGATGTCGGAATTTGATGAATAGTTTCGACCACCGTTGACTCCGCCATCGTACTACTATCCGACGTTCCTAAGGTGTATTATGACGTTTTCTAACTGACTATTACTATCAGTATAAAAACACTGCTGAAAATTTAATATCTGATTAAAGATAACTGTACTTTTTTCACCTCGTTCCCAAAGAAAGATGTTTAACCGGTCGACTGCAAATCCGCAATTTTCGTGGTTTGATAAAACATGTGTCCATCAACCAGACAGCTGAAACTATTGGCGAAATCCCGCCTCAGTATTAGTTACTGTTGTGCACCATATTTTAAAACAAAATTATAATCAGATGAAGAGCATTTTTATGATCTTATATTGCATTTAATGCTCATGTTATTTAAATTACTCATAAAGATAAAAGAAACTTTATTAAGATATCTCGTTTAGATTGTATTTAAACAGAACTGCATGTACCGATCACCAATGACACCATGTGTTTTATGTAGTTTTTGTATAGCGTAATTTCACTAAATCTTAGATAATTATTTTCGAAATCTTTCACTTTTATTACAAGAGATTAGCTGAACAAATATTTAAGGTTTATTTCATTTGAAAGATAAATAAGTATGACAGTTGTACTATCTACAATTCTACATACCGAGTTATTTATGAACAATCTATAATAACAAAGGAACGAATTTGTCGAATTTTCAAGAAAAAGCTCAAATTGAAAGAGATAAGAGTTTAGATTGTGCATGTTGTTCTCGCATTAACATATAAACTAGTACAGGCATAAACCTTTCTTGCGGTTATTTGCTAGTGCATTTTGTATGCATTTTTTAAAATTAAATTATCCTAACAGTAGAATTTTCCAGTATTCGCTTGACGTCACAAATATTCATACTATAGGTACTATCTTGTAAATACGAATCTATTTGTGTTTTACCGTTGTTTATTCTGCAAACTATTCCAATCTTGATCCTTTTGTATCCATAATTACTAACAATTAACAAATGCTGGTGTTTTTCGATACATAATACTATTATACTTCCATTGTGTTCCAAGCTTATATTACCTAACATCTTCAATGATTGTTTTTTGGTTTTTGCTCGATGTTCAGTCGCAAATAGTTCATGCATACTCAAAGTGAATTGATCAGAATGAAGGACCAAACAATTCTTTATGACAGAAAAAAAACAGGACCAAAACTGCAAACCAACTTAGTAACTGGAAAGGATACAAGGACTAACTTTGTATCATGAGAAGGATGACACATTAACGTTGTAACAGAAGGATACCAAGCTCATTTGCAACAGGAGAGGAAAACCAGCTCATTTGTGACAAGAGAGGGATGCAAAGCATACTTTGTAACAGGAGAGGGGTGCCAAGCGAACTTTGTAACAGGAGAGGGATACCAAGCTAACTTTGTAACAGGAGAGGGATACCAAGCTAACTTTGTAACAGGAGAGGGATGTCAAGCTAACTTTGTAACAGGAGAGGGATGCCAAGCTAACTTTGTAACAGGAGAGGGATATCAAGCAAACTTTGTAACAGTAGAGGGATACCAAGCAAACTTTATAACAGGAGAGGGATACCAAGCGAACTTTGTAACAGGAGAGGGATGCCAAGCATACTTTGAAACTGGAGAGGGATTCCAAGCATACTTTGTAACAGGAGAGGGATGCCAAGCTAACTTTGTTACAGGTGAGGGATGCCAAGCTAACTTTGTATCAGGAGAGGGATACCAAGCAAACTTTGTTACAGGAGAGGGATGCCAAGCTAACTTTGTTACAGGTGAGGGATTCCAAGCATACTTTGTAACAGGAGAGGGATGCCAAGCTAACGTTGTTACATTGTTACAGGAGAGGGTTACCAAGCTAACTTTTTTACAATATAGGTATGTCAAGTATGCATACTTTGTATCAGGAGAGGGATGCCAAGCTACGTTACTTACAGGTGAGGGATTCCAAGCATACTTTGTAACAGGAGAGGGATTCCAAGCATACTTTGTAATAGGAGAGGGTTACCAAGCTAACTTCGTTCAATATAGGTATGTCAAGCATGCATACTTTGTATCAGGAGAGGAATGCCAAGCATACTTTGTAACAGGAGAGGGATGCCAAGCGAACTTTGTTACATTTTTACAGGAGAGGGTTACCAAGCTACTTTGTTACAATATAGGTATGTCAAGCATGCATTTTTTGTATCAGGAGAGGGATGCCAAGCTAACTTTGTTACGGGTGAGGGATGTCAAGCTAACTTTGTTACAGGTGAGGGATGCCAAGCAGGCATACTTTATAACAGGAGAGGGATATCAAGCTAACTTTGTAACAGGAGAGGGATATCAAGCTAACTTTGTAACAGGAGAGGGATATCAAGCTAACTTTGTAACAGGAGAGGGATGCCAAGCTAACTTTGTTACAGGTGAGGGATGTCAAGCATGCATACTTTATAACAGGAGAGGGATGCCAAGCAGACTTTGTAACGGGAGAGGATGTCTAACTCACTTTGTAACAGATGAGGGATACCAATCGAATTTTGTAACAGCTAGGAGAAGGATGACTCACTTTGTAACAGGAGAGGGATGCCAAGAGAACTTTGTAACAAGAAGGGGATGCCAAGCCTATGTAAATTTGCAACTGGCTTACTTTAAAACAGGCAAGTGATTTGAAATTTCAGGGACCAAATAAAGTGTATCATTCCTCTTTCTTTGTAGATAAAAAAAAGTGTGGAAGATGGAAAAATGTATGAATAAACAAATGCATATACGATACACACATGATAATCATTGTATACCTTCCTAAATAAGCAAGGCTCAACAAACTAAAAGGCAGGTTTAGCAAATTCGGTTAATCAGGATTAAGGGCAAGGATAGTCGGACTGCCACTGAATAAGGCAGAAATTTTGCCTTGAAATAGATCACCTACAGATCCCTCGAAGAGATCTTGCAAGGGTTCTAGTACAGGAAGAGAGTATGACACTCTTCCAACATGTGGAATCAGATTCAATGTCCCCCAACCAGATGTAGCTGCTAAATTATACACCCCACAGAACAAAAACAGACATGATTAGTCAAAAAGCTAACTTTATAACATAATAGGGATATGAAGCTAATTTTTTGGAAGGATTAAGATTTGAAGCTAAATTCAGAAAACCTACATAGCTAACTTCTCTTTTTGATGCACCTAACAAGCTGACTTCAGCTGTTTTATACCAATCTGCAGATTTACAAACAGAACATTGTCTCCTGTTAAGTTGGAAAAACATAAACTTTTTGTTTTATTTGAAACATTGATAACTACAGTATACATATTTGTTTAGGGGCCAGCTGAAGGACGCCTTCGGTTGCGGGAGTTTCTCGCTGCATTGAAGACCCATTGGTGGCCTTCGGCTGTTGTCTGCTCTATGGTCGGGTTGTTGTCTCTTTGACACATTCCCCATTTCCATTCTCAATTTTATAAGTTAAGCCTACATGATTCTGTAAAACCATCAATGATTTGACTTTCAATTAAAAAAACAGCAGCAAAGTATGTACCAAAAGGTCAATCAGATTATCTTTTACATAAAAATCATACGAGTTATATTTAATATTAGATATATTGAATTCACATGATTAAATAATATGTATTTGGATAAGAGTAAGGGTAACAAACTGTAGGTTAGGCCAACTATCAAAGATTGTATTGTTAAATAAACTGTAATCACAGAGATATGTCTCGCTTTTTGTAATTTTGATTATGCAAATGTTGAAATTAAAATGGCAATACTTAACAAGTTAGGCTAATATTCAAAGTCAATGAACCATGACTGAGGTACATGGATAAACCATCTCCATGTAAATGAGATGCGCCAATGCTAATACAACTGCATACCAAATATCATTGACTTATTATAAGTTGTTCCCTTTAAACAAACCTAAACACAAACATTAACTTGTAAACTATGTAAAAGTTTCAAAGTCAATGAACCATGAAGAGGGGGTGGTGCTATATAATCTCCATGGAAACGATACTTACAAATGCCAATAAATTTGCATACCAAACATCGTTGACTTAACATAAGCAGTTCATCTTAAACTGATCTTATCACAAACTAATACATGTAAACTAAGCAAAAGTTTCAAAGTCAATAGGCCATGACTGAGGGGATGGGGCCAAATATTCTCCATTGAAATGAGATGTGCTAATGCTTACACAACTGAATACCAATTAACATTGGCCTACCACTAATGGTTCCCCTTGAACTGACCTAATCACAAACTAATACATGTTAACTAAGCAAAATTTTCAGTCAATAGAGCATGACTAAGGGATCTGAGCCAAATGATCTCCAAGGAAATGAGATAGGCCAATGCTTATACAACTGTATACCAAATATCATTGACCTACCACTAATGGTTCCCCATAAACTGACCTAATCACAAACTAATACATGTAAAATAAGCAAACGTTTCAAAGTCAATAGACCATGACTGAGGGGGCAGGGCCAAATAATCTCCATGGAAATGAGATGTGCCAATGCTAATACATCTGTATACCAAATATGATTGACCTACAACTTGTGGTTCACCACAAACTAGACCTAACCACAAACTAATACATTGTTGACGCCACCACCATCGCCGACGAAAAAAACAGCATACCTACCAGTATGTCTTGCTTTTTGACTCCGTCAAGCGAGACAAAAAGCAATATCCTTTGTGGGATCTTCAGGAAGCACTTGCCTCATTCTAAACTCCCAAAGGAGCTACAACTGTAGAAGAGTCAATTTGGGTCTGTATACTATGACTTTGAAAAACTTCAACAACATGGTGTCAATAAAACTTCTTGTCATGTGAACTTGTGTGAGAAAGCAAGAAAAGTTTAAAAAAAATTAAATAAATATATAATAATCCATTCTTTACAGACATACTGTTCTTAAATCCCACAAAGCTATTATCGTAATAAGTTATGTGACTGTAAAAATTGGATTGAAGCAAGAGCGCAAGTACTTGATGAGTCACATGACATTGTGGCTGACAAGTTATGCAAACATGCAAAATTACTTGTTAAAACCTTCAGGGTACC